CCCACTATTTCTCCAGGTTTAGAGGTAGACCTGTAAGATACTCCTACATGGGTTTAAGTTGAATGTATACTGTTTTATCTGATTTGATTAAATTTGCATAAATGTATTCACACATATAATCCAACACCTTTGTAAATCATCATGTCTTAGGTTAAACTAATGAATTTGTGTGTGTAAGAGTCTTAGAAGATGAAGTGTTAAATGCTGTATTCCCCAAAATAATTCAATGCCTCAGTTTTTGAGGTGACTGCAGAAGAATCATTCTAAGTCCATACTTTCATGAAGACTTAAACTTTTCATTCATAATTCTGGCTGCAAGCTGGTCTTCTGTCACTGATATACTGTGAAACGCTGTCCCTCAAGACTGAAACAGTTCATGTGCCAGCACTTATTGTGCTGTACAGTATGCTCACAGTTCCTATTGTCTCACTCTATGAGAAAGCTTATTAGCTTAACTATGCAGAGTTAGAATCACATTTTCTGTTTGCATATGTGAGCTGCACACGTTGTGAGAATTGGAGAGGAAAATATAACCTTTTACTTTTTTTGTGCAAGACTGAGGTTGCACAGCTCTGCTCCATACCCAAGCAAATAAATTCTGGTACAAATTTCACAGTCTTGAATAAACCACAGTTAGCAGTGACAAGCAGAATTCTAGAGCTACTCCTTAATGTATTGTTGCTTTGAATTGGTTTGTTTTCTTCTGGGTGGCATAGAGGAACTATTTAGGAAACAATAGCATCAGTCTCAAAGATCTCGACAGCAAAGAACTGGTAGGAAAGGGGTACAACATACAAGCAAACTGACTGTACTGGCTATAGCAGCATGTATTCCCAGTTCCATTTTGTTTGTTGGTTGTATTGCTTTTACATACAGAAGCTATGATTTCAGTGTTCGATAACTCTCAGATTCTGACCCTTCAGACATGTAAGCATTCCAGCTTAACATGTACTAAGTAATACACGTTAATTGACTTTTGTAGGACTGTAACTTAGTTTTTAAAATACTAACTTGTAGTTTGAAATTTTTAGTTTGAAAATTTTCTTTTTGTAAGAGCTTACTCTGTAAGTAGTGACTCTTTGGACTCCATTCTGTCCAAAATAATTTCTTCTGATGATTAAATATCGGCTGCGGTTATGCTTGCAGATTTTTTGAGTATTTGCAGTGGGACAAAGACTATTCCTCTTACATAGTCTTTTGCAAACCTTACCATGCCTTAGGTGTCAGGATAAATTTAATGGGAAAACTTGTCCCAAATGTCAATTTCTGCATTAAAAGATGAGTTAGCATAAGAACATGATGTTTTGGGATTTTAGTATTTATTTACATTCTCTATATGGCAGCCAGGTTGGTAAGGAAGCTGACAATATTCTCAAAGTCTGTTTGATTGCATATGAAATTTAAAGTGCAGTTGGAGCTGTCTGGATTTAATTTCTCCCCCCCTCACCCCCCACCCC